GTGTGCCTTGGCAGTCCTGTATATCTCTTCGCTGGCCTGGGAGCGCCTTAGGATCCCCCAGTCAGAGCTGGTTGATGTGGCCAGGGAAAAGAAAGTTTGGGGCTCTCTGCTGGAACTGCTACCTCCGCGACCCGACCACGGATAATCGGGAGAAGATGGATGGATGGATGGATATTTGCTAATCCACTACATCTCAGAGGGAAATTACTTTGCAAAAATAATTCAGCTAATAAATTGATGATGTATCATTATACAGTATAGGTTAAAAATACCTAGCAGTATAAGAAGATAGGCAGAAAGGCACATTTCAGATAATAAACATTATATTTTCTGAAATGTGCCTTTCTGCATTATAAAAACGTTCAACTTTTGACCTCTAAGTACTTTTGTAAATGTACTTAACAGAGACTTTGATTGCAGGATTTTAACTACACTGTGGTATGAGTACTTTTTTGTTAAGTTCAAGTTCTGAATACTTCTTCCGCCCTGGTTAATGCCACACCTCGAATGACTCATGTTCAGAAGCCTGTGAAGCTGACACTTGCTGCAGTCAAAAGGTGAAGCTGACACTCAGGAGTGTGATGCCTGTGATGCCAGCTGGGTGAGAACGAGAAACACTTTAGGCAATTTAGACACATGAAAACAGCAAATGTTCCCAGAGCAGAACAGATTGTCTGATTGATTCCTGTTATTCATCTGCAGTCTTATTGTTTTACTGTCCGTTACTCCCAGGTGTGCTGTTTGTGTGGGACTAACTGCGCCAACAGCACAACGATGAGCAGCTCCACAGCAGGGGAGCAGTCACATTGCAGCAGAAGAATCATGTGAAAATGTCGAGCAAAATGTTGTTATGCACTCCCATAAAGAGTCTAAGTGGCTAAAAGCTTTATGTTTCAACAACATTAAACTTCTCCCTAGAGAGAGGTGTGCAGGGGCCACCTTCTGAAGAGCACAAAGTCACCTCACTATGTCCTGTGGAAATGTGGCAGTGACTCTCATGGAGAGTACTGTGTGAAGTGTAAAAGTTAAAAGGTATTTTAGGAAAGGAAAGTGCTTTCAGGTTAAATTCAGAACAATGTTTACAAACCTAATACATTTTGATGTATTTAGTGGTTTGGTGGTACTGTGAGCTTTTAAAAACTGGACTTTACTTTCTCCTGCTCATGTATCCTTCGTTGTACTCACCAAAGTAATCACTGAAATATCTTTAAATAAAAGGGCGACGGGGCAACAAACATGAGCAGTTGAACAACAAAGTTTGAAAACAAACCCCAGGTCTGTTCAATGTTATCAAAATGTATTACACCTGCCCCGTAGATTGAGACGTAGAACTGTTTTCTGATCTGCAGGTCTGTAGCATTTGTCTATTCTTTGCAAAGCAGCTACCTGAATGTTAAAAAGTGGATCCATTTGTTTCTTATGGCAATGACCACCTAAAAATAACTAGGACCTTCACAAGGCTTTGTCACCTGAATGTTGTTTTGGAGTTCTCTCTGAAAAGAATGATGCTGTCCTTCTTCCTGTGAAGACTTATTCAACTTATTTTATAGAAACACAAAACATGAAGGTGGCCCACTGGACTTGACCCAGTTAGTCACACGGGGAGTTTGAAGCTTTAAAAGCGACATTATGGATTCACCTACATTCAGTTAAATACCAACAATTAATTGGTGCAGGCAGCCAGCTTGTTTACGACCTGTATGAGTGTTGTTCTCCCACTTGGTCCTATTTATAGCAATGACGCACAACAATTGGAGTGTTAGTATATTTTACACGGTAGAATTGTTATTCTTCACAAAACTATTTTGCATACTTCATGCTAAAGTTTAATAAGTGCAACGCTGTTAATCTTTTTCACCTCGCCTTCGTGTGGGGCCATCTGAAACAGCTATAAAGAAATTGTATTAGCTCTCTGCTTGCCTCACCTGACCTTTACTTTGGTGAGTACAATGTCATTTATAACTGCATACTGTATAACCATAATAAATGCCAAATTGATGAGAAATAAAAAAAATGTTGTGAAGAGTGACCTCTTGACTGTGAGCGTTCTTTCCCTCTGGTTATTTTTACTGCATTTATTTGAAACTATCAATGTTTTATCTCTGGCCTAAATAAAAATAAATATTTGTAAAGTAATGAGAATAGTTGAGAGACATACTAAAGTTGGATTAGAGGGTTGGCCTCAGTGGACCACACTGCCGAACCTCCACAATGTGTCATCCGTAGCTCTCCAGTAACATTGTATTTCTGTTAGTCCATTTTAACATCTTAATCAGGCCTCAATGCATGTGCAAAAACGTGATTTTGGCACATAACATCTGATGTATTGAGTCCCTGGTTAAAAGGAAGCTCTGTTTACTTTTTGTCTTGAGTTCTCTCTCAGAAACTGTAACTTGTGACGCGCTGTTCTCATTAGGCTCAGTATCCACGCGGAGCTGGCCCAGATAAACCTGCTCAGCAAGTCTTTCCCCGGAGAGTTACAGTTACTGTGCTAGATATGCAAAACCCAGCCAACACAGAACAGAACATACTCTGTGGGAGAAAGATTTAAAGTCTGTTGTGCTGTTCAGAGAGCTGCAGCCCAATCTACCCCCCTAACTGTGTGTGTGTGTGTGTGTGTGTGTGTGTGTGTGTGTGTGTGTGTGTGTGTGTGTGTGTGTGTGTGTGTGTGTGTGGGAGTGTGTGTGTGTGGGTGTGTGTGGGTCTGTGTGAATGCATGCATGTAATACATTAAGAGTGAGAGTGAGAGTAAGCGAGTGTTTGCAATAATTGAGTTTAGTCAAGAGTTACTTGGGGTCTAAAAGCATTACACACTTGAGTGTGATTGATAAAGTGGATTTGGCGTTGTAGCCACAGTAAGTCCATAAGCAGTGTGTTACTGGGAGCAGTAGCAGCATTGGCGCTTGGAAAAGGGACACACCCACACACAGACATGCACAAATTCCCACATACACGCACGCGCATGCGCACGCACGCACGCACGCACGCACCGTGCACGCACACACGCACGCACACACACACACACACACACACACACACACACACACACACACACACACACACACACACACACACACACACACACACCTATTTCTAAAGTCAGCTTATTGTACATCGTAATTGACTCATTTTGAGTCCTAATTCACATGATGTAAACAGACTTAGAGTGAAGGATTATGCTGATGTTAAGCAAACTTAAAACAGGTAAAATCACACATTCAAGCCTGAGTATATTTAATGTTATTAAGGACTGAAAGACACTAAGAAATTAATGTTTTTTATCTCTGTAAATACATTCTGAAATGTATGTTCATGTGTATTTAGTAGATTAGCTTTCTGTTATACAGCTACTGGTTTTCCTTTCACCCAATGAGATACAGTTTTACCATTGATTTATATACTATTTTGATATTCACTATATATAATTTAATAACAAAGATTTCCTTCAGTTAAGTTTAACCAGAGTAAATGGGCCTGATATGTTTGGCAAATCTGACACAATAGTATCTCATACGTATTGTTGCACATGCTTTTAAAGGCTGATACAATTATATTGAAAGCATCAGAAAATGTAAACGAGCAGTCTTTTAAGACCTTGGAGGAAATGACTTCATTAGCCTCTTTGTGTGAGATGGATTTTTCTAGCCTCTTGACTGAGGGTGCTTTACAGGGAGTGCCTGCTGACACGCTGACGCAACATACCATTTTGTTTTTACACTATAATTATCTCACAACCTTTTCTGTTTTCCCTTTATGTTATTTAGAAAGATATTTCAAACCTCTCATTTCTTTTGGTGTTGTTGATGTGTAGATTGTCTTCAAACTCTAACAATAGGCAATTTGTCCGATCCCATAAAACGTGGTGTCGGACCAAGAATACAAACTCAGTTTGGTCAGTGTTGAGGTTTGATGTTCAACTCAGTCGGTGTTCATACATATAAACATCAGGAATACACAGAAACAGCAGGACTCACCTTGATCCAGAGACTTGGCAGGAGCCCAGCTTTTGAAGTAGTCATCCTGAGTGGAAACACAACATAAGAAACTGGGTTATGAAAAAATAACTAGATTTGGAGAATATCACTAAATTATTTTGCAGACCAGAGAGAGAAACGCCCAAATACTAAACCAAAATACTGAGAGATCCTGTCCTCATTCTACTCGCCTTTTGTTCTGTACTACTTGTGTTTTGTGAAGATGAATGATTGCAGTAGAGAAGAAAAAGACATGGAGAGGTAGAAGCTTGTTTGGACGTTTAAAAATAGGACACACATACAGAGAGACCTGCAGGAGACACACTGGGTGGTGAAGAACATTACATGCTCTGGTGAATAAAGGGCTTAACTAGGACAAAACATTTAATGTCAAGGTCAAAATTGACTTCTACTCGGAAAACTGTTCAGGAAGAAGGGTTGTTGTAAAAAGATAACAGGATGTACATTTTTGCTACTGGGATCTTCTTAAAATCATATATGAAGAAGCACACATTATTTGTATTACTAGAGTCGTCTACTGTCATAAAGAAAGTGTCTTTAACTGGAAATATCAGAGAGATATCTGTCTCAGTTATACTCAGCTGATTAGAGGTTTGGATTTGTTTTATTCAAACACATCTATTCAGAATAGATTAGTTATTATTGTAGAGCAATTAAAACAGCCACAATTAAACCGCTTAAATATTGTGAGTGATCCACGCATCTCTCACGTATAAGAACATATTGGTTAATAGTCGATGAGTCAAGGAGTGGTGTGTTTTCATCCTGCAGCGCTGCAGCAGAAGCAGTTATGCATTTCAATAGAGCTCTCTGTTATGTGAACAGGTTGATGCTCAGAAGTGTCTGGAGGGTGTAAATGATTTTATAATCCTGCCTCAGCCATCACTGTGAGTGCCATGAGCTCCATATTTGCATGGAAAATGGTTGATAACACACTTTGGTTATGTCGTTTTATGTAGTGTTCTTATGTAGTAAGAACTGTATAAAATGTTTTAGGTGTTAATTAAAGTACAATTTTTAAAGCTTTTTCCTATAAAGACATTGTCGATTTTTACAACACTGTTTGTACCGTCATAACTAACTCTACAAGTTTACAACCACAATACAGTGTATTTCAAACCATTAATGAAATATTTATATACGGCTTAACACTGATTAATAAAGACAAACTGATTAAGGTTGCGCCAGGTATTGTCTGAAGGGGTTTCTTTCAAAGTGAGCAATACAACCCCACTACCCCCCCCTCCACACACACACACACACACACACACACACACACACACACACACACACACACACACACACACACACACACACACACACACACACACACACACACACACACACACACACACACACACACACACACACACACACACACAGTGGTGGTGGTGCCTGCATCTAAAGTAGCGCCCACAGCGAGGCATATGTGTGTCAGCAGGGGGGGAGCCTGTGTCAGTGACACTATGTGAGCGAGGCAGAGAGAGCCTGCTGGGTTTGTGAGCGGAATCTCTACCTCCTTAATTATTGAATTAAAGAGAGGGGAAAGGGAGACGGAGGGAGGGGGGAGATTAGTCATAGGAAACAGTAGCAGAAAATGGACAGTTGACCCACTCATCCAGTCCGTGTTCTATAAATGACAGCTGTCCGCATTAGAGCCGATACAAAAGTTATAAATGAAGAGTCGCAACCTAGATAGCTTCTCCCTCTGGTCCTCACGTCACTAAGTCCTCACTTCATTTTTATCTTATTCTATGTCCTGCTCCCCTGCTCTGTCTCTATGATCAAATTATCCTTTATTGCTGTGGAAAGTATGATGTTACTGTGTGAGCAGTCATTTCTGCACAGTTCTAACTGAGCATTGCACCATTTAAACAAATGTGAAACCATTACATTTTCATTCTATGCTTATACAGTACAGTGACAATGACTGCCCATGCTATGAAAACTCCATTCTCCCTGTACGATATGTTCACTCTAGTATCAGTTGAAGAAAAAAGGATACTAGTTTGAATATGCAGAAAAACACATCTATTCATCTGTATACTGTAAGGCTTATACAGATGAGGTTACTGTAAGTAACAGCTCATTATTCAATGTAATGTACGCATATTTCAACATATGATCTGAATTAAAAAAGGCAAGAACATTACATTTACTCTCATAAATGACGATTTGAATAAGTAAAATTAAATCGGGTAATATTCAACCTGCTAACAATAAGTTATGGTTATATGAATCCAAGGTCGAGCATTTCTCACTTGAGCTCGATCATTTTTTTCATCTTAATGAATGATTTCTAAACACAGACACCATTAAATGCATGAAGCATAGACCAAAGGATTTTTAATGAAATGATCAATAGGTATGGGTGCAATGTTCCGGTTTCCCCGGATGTGTTTGGTTAAACTTCTGAAACCTTTTGAACCAATAAAGCAATATTTTACTGAGCTGAATTGTAAGAAGTCCATCTCAAAGTGATGCCAGACAAACATTACACTGTCTGCGGCTTCCAGGAAGGAAGTGCCAAATGTCTCAAAATCGTATCATCAAGTTACAAACACAATGGAATTACTTACCTCCGCTTCCTTTAAACGGTTGCAGAGGAGAGAGGCAGAGGAATAAAAAGGAGAGAGAAGAGAAAGAAAGAAAGGTCAGTGATAATGGCACAGTATGCTATGTCTATCAGAGCTATTACAACCCGGCGTTACTCATTCTGAATACTGAACCCAACTCTGCAGATTCATTTAATAGGAATCTGATTCTGAAGGTGGACCAATACCAAAGGACACACACATACACACACATTCACGCTCACAGTCTTATGAGATAGCCTTATTTGATGTGGCATATAATGTGAAACACATCGAGGGCAAATTGTACAGACATAGAGTTAAGGCACAGCATAGAGAAAAAGAGAGGGGGGAGAATTAAAGAGGGGGAGGCAAGGGGATTGTGCATAAATAGAGGCAGCAGGAAAAGGGGTATGTGATTTTGGTGCATTTTTATTGTGCTATAATGTGGTGGAGAGGGTCAAAGGAATATGTCCGTGAGGGGTTGTCTTATCTAAACTATGGCTGGGTAATTTATTAACATTATATTGGATATAGGACTCCTGTATTTTATTTGTCAAAAGATCGAAAGTGATGTATTTTCCTGGTTTGAAAGGCAGCATTACAGTAAATGAATGTCATTTTCTAATAGTTCTATTATTTCACTCCTTAGCCGCGTTCACACCGGAGTACTTTTCCCACTTTAGTTCCGATATAGTTCCGAAATGTCGCGTTCACACCAAAAAGAGCCGGAACAAAAATTAGTTCATGTGAACCTTTTTACCCCCTTTTCCGTCCCTGCTAGAGAGCAGGGACTCTCATGCGGCTCTCTTGTGAGAAAAGAGCTATATTTCTGATTGGCTGGGCGGATTGCAAACCACGCCCCGTAAAACTCAAAAAAGTGTTGTGAAGCCACCATTTTATTAGCATTATTAGCATTAGCCCAGCGCAGAAACGCAGAGAGACTAACTTATGGCAACACAAAATAAAACATGGGAGCGGTGGAGATGAGGAGGTGTCGGCGTTCTGGCGATTTACTCGGAAGGCTTCTATTGAAGCCAGTCCCCAACAACCGGGGACTTCCGGCCGGGGATTTTGGGCGGCAGTATACGCCGTGAAGTTGTTTGCGGCCTGCCAGTAAACCCAAAGCAGAAGAAGAAGAAGTGACGTCAGCGGCTTCATTTGCCTAATCCACCCCCAGGGATTTATTCCGGTGTGAACGCGATCTGTACTTAGTTCATCAGAACTAAATAGTTCTGATGAACTAAGTTCTCATGAACCTTTGTGGGAAAAGTACTGCGGTGTGAATGCGCCTGATGTTACACTACGTTGGAAACGCATTAGGCACACCCTCGTGGGGGCACACGCATGTGATTGGCTTAAAATTAAGCAGACATCTGATTGGCCGAAGATTCACACAAAGAAAGCGTTTTTTATATAAATGTAACAACACTCAAATGTGTTTTTGATGTAACTATTTGTGTGTGGAACAGAAATATATTTGTGAAACTTTTTTACATTTATAAAATGATAAGTTTGTGTGTGTGCATTGAAAAATATGTGTGTGGACGGAGACATTTATATATAAATCCGGAATTACATTTGTGTATCCTTTTGTGTGCCTTTATTTATTTTTGAGACTGTTCTGAGCCCATACACCACTTTCCCCACTAACTGTTCAAATGCTTATGTCTTAGTTCTTCCTGTTAGCACTAGCAGCGTTGTAAGAACTTTGAAAAATGTAAGAAAAAGACAGAATTAAGAGAAAAACTTTGGAATTTTCTGAAAAAGGGCAAATTATGAGATTTTCAATAAAAAGCTAAATGTTGTGATTTAAAAATAAAGTCAGGAACTTTGAGAAATTCAAAGTCAAAATGTGAAGATTGGTAGAAAAAGTCCACATTTTGAGAAAAGATGAAGAATTTTGAGAATTTCTGAAAGTCAGAATTTGAGGTAAAAATAATCAGAAACAATTTATTAAAGTCGTAAATTTAAGAAATTTGAAAAAGTCTGAATTTAAATACATTTATAAAAATGTCAGATCTCTTTAAAGTCAGAATTTTGAGAAATTCTGATTTTTTTTGGGAAAAACTCTGAATTTTGAGAAATGTATATAAAAGAAAGAAAACCTTTTTCAGAAAAAATGAACTTTCAGATTTCGAGGAAAAGGTCAGAATTTTGAGAAATGTTGAAAAGTCCGAAATTTGAGAAAAAAGTTTTTAAAAAATTGATTTGAAAGAAAACGTTTTTTAGGAGGATTTTGGAAAAACTGAGATTTTCAGCAATAGACAGAATTTGGGGTTTTTGGGAACAAAAAAAATCCCTGAGGGAGGATTAGGGAAATTAAGCCGCTGACGTCACTTCTTCTTCGTCTTCTTCTGCTCTGGGTTTACTGGCAGACCGCAAACAACTTCACCGCGTGTACTGCCACCCGAAGTCCCCGGCCGGAAGTCCCCGGAGTTGAGTAAATCGCCAGAACGCCAACACCTCCTCATCTCCAACGCTCCCATGTTTTCTTTTATGTTGCCATAAATTAGTCTCTCTGCGTTTCTGCGCTGGGCTAATGCTAATGCTAATAATGCTAATGCCAGCAAATACAATGGCCCAAAAGTACAACCAGTGAGTATTGAGTCTCACACACAGCGAGTCTCTTTAGACATTGTAATGCTTGTTATTAACGATCTATGCATGAAAATATGTTTTTCTTACAGAAACGTAATTATTATTATTAACAACAATTTGTTGTTATTATGTGTTTGTTTTTTTAATAACAAATGTATTTTGTATGTCATATGTAAAAAGATAGTCTTTTATATTTGTCTTATCAAATTTGACATACAACGTAAATAAATATATATACATATTGTAGTAAGAATGATATAATCTATTTATAATTGTAAATGTATATTGTCGACATATATATAGATGTATATTTTGTATTAGTTGTTAACTTTAAACAAACAACACGATTCACATTACTCACACTCTTACTGTAATTAGTGATTAAATCAACAATTAATGCAATTAGCTAATCACACTTCATTTCAAGACACCGGAATTGTTTTTAATGTTAAACAAATAAAACTTTAAAAGCACTTCACATTACTCACACTCTGTGCGTTGTCGTTCATATTCATGTCTCCTACTCGCTAGGTGGCAGTGTCACGAAAAACTATAGGGTCCTAGGAGTGCGGTCCTGAAACTGCAACCTCCGACGCTGCAGCTTCATGCTACTCAATGAAATAGGGGGGAAAATATCTCATGAATAAATTCTCTTTTTGGTCTAAACGCAAAATCCCAGGAACTATCGGAACTAAAAGGGAAAAGTACTCCGTAGTAGCTGTAATTGTAGCAGTAGTGTTAGTAATTGTAGCAGTAGTATTAGTAGTAGTAGTAGCAGTAGTATTAGTAGTAGTAGTAGTAGTAGTATTAGTTAGACCCTCCAGAAAAACGCGATTCTGCGATCGCAGAATTTACCGCATAATCAGCAAAATGACGCAGATTTTTAAAAGGCCGCATAATCCCCGCATTTTTCCACAAAGTTGAGAAAAAAAAAAGTGAACTCGTCTTGACGGACGTCATCAGCTCGCGCATCACAGAATGTAAACAACACTGTATAGAGTGAACGTGTGGAGCTCACACGATAGAGAAAACACCAAGATGAAAAAATCTAATCCATCTCATTTACCGACAAACATTTCTACTAAAGACCGGGCAAAAAGTGGGGGGAAACTATTCTGCACCCCGTGCAACTGTGTGTTGGAGCATAAGAGAAAATCGACGGTGACGACCCACTTTGACTCATTCAAACATTCGAAAATGCTTTCTGCTGCTGCGGACAAGAAAGCCAAACAACTCACGTTCAGCGAGGCATCAACCTCCAAAACCCTTTAGAGGGCTACAAGAAACGAAGTGAGTAGCCTACAAGATTGAAGCTGGTCAGATAACGAACGAGTAAATGAAAACAGAATGAGGCGGAGAAGTGTGTGTGTGTGTGTGTGTGTGTGTGTGTGTGCGAGAG